CAGCTAAATGCCATTGCAGGGTTATTAACTGGCCTAATTTCAATATTGTTGTGTCTCAGAGAACAGGGAGGCCCCAGGAGAGGGAGGGAGACAGGGAACAGCCTTCCACTGGAGCAGTTAGAGTACCCAGAACATTTATTAAGTTCGCCATCTTATCTGGCTATAGTTTGTGGTGCCCCAAAACAATTACAATAGTATCATCAAAGATTACTGATCGCAGATCACCGTAACAGATTTAACAGTGAAAAAGTAAATATTGTGAGAATTACAGAAATGTGAGAGACATTTACTGAGCACATGCTGTTGGAAAAATGGAGCCAATAGACTTGCTTAAATTGTCACAGACCTTCAATTTGTAAAAAAAGAAAAAAGAAAAAAAAATGCAATTGTCTCCTAAGTGTGATAAAATGAGGTATGTCTGTCTGTATTGATTAGGTCAGTGAATACAAATGGAGGAGTTTGGGCCCCCACTGCTCCTCCCTTCCCCCGCAGTGGTACCTGAGGTAGCCCTGCAATGTTTAGCCTGGGACAGAGGAAGGTGAAACATTGGGATCCACCCCAGAACCTCATGGGAGAAAGACCCCTGTGATGTGTTACATATTCTCTAGGGCCAAGCTAATGTCTGACAACTCTCTGACAGTACCAGAGAATTCTAACTCCCTGAGGTGGCCAATATCTCTGGTCCTCATAATAGATTGTTTTTTAATCTCAAATACTTCAGAAGTTAGCATGAACTGGGAAATCAAATTATGTCGTTCAGCTCTCCTATGTTACAGAAGAGGAAACTGATGCCCAGGGAGATTAAGCAGCTTGCCTATAATCACCAGCTTGGTACTGGTAGAGTCCAGGCTGGACTAGGTATTCTGATTCAGGATTCATTGTTCTTCCCCCTGTAGCCCACTTTCTCTGGTGTCCTCTCCCAATAGCCTGAGAGTGATGTGCTGCTGTAATAGTCTGAATTTCTGAAGGGTAAATGAGGCCTGAGGTACCTGCATCCTATTTTCGTGTTTTTGAAATGTTAGTCACTATGTAACTCACCACATTTTAGGCAAAACATTATATCAGAAGTTACACTTAAGGCCACAGAAAAGTACCTCCAGAGAACAGATCTAGGACTGCATGAGTTATCAATTTCTCATCACTTAGTTAACAGACTGCCCCAAATGTCGTTGCTTAAAAACACCACCATTTTTAGCTCATGTTCTGTGAGTAGGCAATTTGGGCTGAGCTCAGCTGGGCAGTTCTTCTGCTGGCTCACCTGGCCCACTCACACAGCTGCAGCCAGAACTGCATCTCCCAGGGGCTGTTTGGTCCTGGTTTTCTGTTCACTCCCAGGAAAAGAGTTTAGCCTGCAATACTTTATCTGTTAGGACAAGTCTGAGACTACCAAGCGGGCCAACCTCACCATTCCTGGGAGAGCCACTGCCATTGAGTGGCTTATGGCTGAATAATGGGGGTGACTGGGCCACATGTCTCCACTGTCTAGCAGCACAGCCTGGGCTTTTTCACATGGTAGCTAGGTTCCAAAAGCATCAAGACAGGGCAAACTTCAATGCACAAGTGATTTCCAAACCTCCGCTTGTACTCATGTTTACTAATGTCTCCTTGGCCAAAGCAAGCCAAGTGAAGTTCAGAATCAAGGAGTGAAGAAAGATTCCATTTCTTGATGGGAGGAGCTGGAAAGCACTGTTGCTATTCCCCCACCCCCACCCCGCAAATCTACCATAAGGGTAAAGCTGGATAAATACCTACAGTATCATATTCATATTGAGATTACTGTAACCACTGATGGTTTATCTAGTTTCTTGGGGGTGAGGGTGTGTGTGAGAGGACCCAGAAACAGCACCTGGCTGTGAGATGAGGGAAAGCCACTAACAGCTGGCAGAAATGCAAGCTGGAGACTCAAAACCTCTGTCACCCAGCCCAGAGCCGAGGTTCTCATCTTATGGGGCAGGAGGTGGGCCAACCAGGAGTACCCCTGGAGAGAGGAAAGATCTCTGGACACTCAGGAGCTGTGAGTGTCTTCATTCTCCTCCGAGCTGCTTCATACTTGGCATCATGAGATGCTGTTTGAGAGAGAGACAGGGAAAGCGAGAGATCCACTCAAAATGTAGGCTGGATCAGGGATGCGGCCTCTGCTCCTAAAAATAAAGCCTGTGGAGGAAAATGAAGGCTAATGTACCTGGAGGTGGAACCATAGGTCAGGTGGGCAAAGCTTTTAAATGTACTGCCTTCTGGGTTGGGAATAGCATGGTGACATTCCCTCAAGCTCAAGGAGAGCTCGGCCATCAGAAGGCAGACTGCAGATCAAGACAGTGATGGCCTGAGCTCACTTTCCGACCTAGTCTGACAGTCACATAGTGTTCAGCTTCCACCTTTCTCACATTGGTAGGCTGCAAACCATCAAAAAATAGAATTTCATATACAAAGCCGAGTCCTTGTTCTAGATTGCACAGGTGATGCCCAGACAACAAGCCAACGTTTTCAGATCCCACCGCCCAGCTTTCACCGTGGACCTGGCCTGGGATGGTGCGGCCTCGATGCCCACCGGGAAGGCAGAGTGGCCCAGCGTGGGCGGCAGAGGTGAGGGAGGGAACGCTGCTCTGAGGCCTTTTTCTTGTAGCTCCAGACAAATTAAAAACCTCCTTACCGGCCATTCATTCTGAGGAGGCCTCTTCCTTCCTCCACAGGGGGGCTGCTGTGTTGGAAGCCGATCGGATTCAGGGAGGCTGGGCCTCCCGGAGCTCTCAAGGAGGGGGAGAGGCAAGAATGGAAAGAGAGAGGCCCTAACCCTGAAGAGATTGGCAGGCAGGGAGTGGGGGCAAAGTGCAGCCCAGGTCACTGGGAAAAAAGAAATCTCAAAGTAAGGGAGTGGGGGAAAGTTCCACTTTCAGCCTAATTATGAAAGAGGCCTGGGTAGAGAGGGGCGGGAGAGCCCAAAGAAGAGAGAAAAGGGAAGTGAGATGTTGCAGAGAGCAGAAAGATATTTTCAGGGCGCACAGGCTATTGAAGGAGCGCGGGCAGGGAAAGGTGCCGCCTCTTCAAACGTGGGTCTGTTATAACTGATTTTGAGACCTGGAAGCACGTTTGCCTGGGACTCCCAAAGAGGGAGGGCAAAATGCCCTATTAAGGGTGGGACGAATTGATTTCCCAAAGAAGCACAGCACCATTTCCTCCAAATGCCCTCTGCAGTCCTCCTTAATCTGCCCTGGAGGCAGCAGGTGACCTCTGCACAGGCCCCTGGAGGCGCCTTTGTTCCGGGGCATTCTGCGGCCCGCCCCGCCCCCTCCCCTTGCACCTGGGCAGCAGCCTCAAAATGCACTTGTCCACCCTTGGCCGGCTCCCGTGGTGGGATGGCGGATGCCTTTGTATGTGAAAAGCCACGAGCCCTCCAACTCCTGTTTTCCTTTCGGCTTGACACATTCACTAATGTATTTCCTGTTCACTCCCAGGAAAAAAAGAGTTTAGCCTGCACTACTTTTATCTGGTAAGACAAGTCTGTGACTGAGACTACCAAGCGGGCCGACCCTCGCTGTTCCCGGGAGAGCCGCTGCCATTCAGAAAGCTTGGCTCTGCCCTCGAATCCCCAAGTGTTCCCTGCCGGGTTCTAATCCAAGCCCTCTGAGGTTTGCTAATTTAATTGTGTAATGGTCCACACCTGAGACATTCCCTGAACTATCTTTAGGACACTACTTAGCCTAAAAGAAAGACAAATAAGAGTATTAAGACAGGGACTTAGACATTGAAAGCTTTTACCATCTCCAAAACATCTGAGTCAAGCAGAAGAAAACGGGGTGGGAGGATGGGGGGTGGCCTCCAAGTCAGAATAAGCAACAAGAAGTAATTAAAGTTCCTGCTAAGTGAGTCTGAAATATGTATTTAGCCCTTAATAACCCTGGGTTTTTAAAGAGCGATTCTCCAAACATCTATTATTCACATCAGTAGGACAGACGGTAAGCCACTGTAAGATTTATAGAAACTAAAAGACTTCCCATGCTAAAGGTTAATGAAAGTGTAATTTGAATCATGAAATCTTTATGTGTCGGCTCAGTTTACACCGAGGGCTCATTAAGGATGCGTTTGGTACAGCGGGCGGCAGGTGACGTCACATGAGTATTTAAATGGGCGGGGCCAGGCTGCTCTGCATGTAATCCTTTAAAAATATAACAGCCTCTCTCTTTCCTTCTCTGTCTCTCCAGCTGTAACAACTTCACCAACTGTCTGGGTTCCACCCCGAGGATTTCACTGAGCGAACACGTTAGAGGAAATCAGGAAGCAGAAAAAAGGTCACAAATAAGCACCTCAGGAACAATGAAAGCTTTTCTCTATGCAGCAGTGGGAGAGTTGCTAGAAAAACTGGAAAGGTATTAATCAGAAGTGGCTATAAATCCTCTGGAGTTTTGCTCTTATAAAACTCCTCAGAGAAAGTCTTGAAGGAAATGCAGGTCAAAGCCCAAAAAAGCTCTTGATCAGAGATTGCTGGAGGAAAATCTTCCCAGACGCCGTTTAATAGGCAGCAATCACCCCAGGAGTGGGGAAGCCAAGTACGCTTGAAACATGGTTGCAATTCCTAATAGGTCTTGTCACACTTAAGGCACTGCAAGCTCCATCCAACGAACAGCTGAAGCTAGCTGGCGATTCATAAAGCCAACAGTTTAAAGTTTATTATGATGAAAGCACTTAATGACAGCCATCGCTAGGGGCCCATCATTTATAAAGCTGTGCTGAGTATTAGACATGTAGCATGACCACCAATTTTATGTCACAATTGCTACCATAAAATGACCTTTGGTGATTTTTGCTGCATGTGGTGGACAGCTCTTCCTTCACATTAGTGCTCTGTGGCTTTCTTTGCAGACTATTATGCTGTCTAAAGCTTATTTGGCACTGTCGTGAGCCTCAACCCTTGTTATTACCCCGAAGGCCTGTCTAAAAAAAAAAAAAAAAAAAAATCTCATGCTCTATTACGCCACTCCAATAATTTACAGTTCTTACCAGCCTTGGTTAGCATAATATTTTAATGCAAATATGCTTTACCATTGGATTTTATTTTAAGCACACACACACAAAATTTCCCATGCTTCTGGCTAGCAAAATATCCATTTTATGGGAGTTCACTGAAATCAGCCTCTTATTCCCTGGTCAGGTCTCATTGAATGAGCAGTTTCCTCTGGGTCAGTTAAAACATCACCAGAAAAAAAAAAAAAGTTACTTAAACTTCTGTTGAGAGAGATTTTTTTTTTTTAAGATCCTATATATGTTAAACCCACCTAAGGCAGAAACACCAGTTCTTATTTCCCTGCATCCAGTCGCAATGCAAATTTACATTTGAGTAACATTATTTAATTAGGCTTTCATTTTTCCACCTTCTCTGTGTAGTTAGCAAATGTTTGAATACACGGCCACTTTACTGCTCCAATGTAAACTGCTGCTAAGAAAGTGGTCTGTCCACGCTACACCACCTTTAAATTGTGTATATAATTTTATAAATGATATAAAATCTGCTTCTAGCCCTGAGGAAAAAAAAAAAAAACCATAAGCATGGCACACTGCAATTTTGGAAGGATTTAAAATATGTGATTTCTGCTGGTACCTACTGTATTGGGTTTTATATAAAGCTTTTTTCAATAAGGTAAATTGTTACATGACAAACTCATCTTCCACCATTATCATCTGCTGTTTGTGTTTAACAACAGGAGTCCCGCTCTAACAAAACTGTTGTAATGGCTGTACAAATTACTCAGCTGAAAGCTTTTCACCAAACAAAACAGTATTAATCAGCAGTTCTTATGAAGGTGCTAATTAAAAACAATTTTCTTCCTCAGTTTGCAATACTAAAGCCATCTTCACTTGCACAGTTTCCAATATACAGCTACTGTATTTGCTCACACTTCAGGCCCTCTATTAACTATTGAATCTCCTATTAGCCATTTTATTACATTTCTGTTTACGAGCTTGTTGACATTTTAAAAGTCACGGTATGATCTGTTTTATCTATTAAAAAATGTATTAATTGAAAAGTCAGGGGGACAAAAAAGGCAAAATACAGACTCCAAATGCACAGACTTTCAGGGCAGAGAACACTGTGAGCATTTAGCCACAGCCTGGAAGGTAAGCTCTCTGGGTAAAATGAAATCTGAGAATTAAAAGTGGCATTTCAGGCTTAATGGTGTGATAAACACTAACAGGCTCCTTCCTAATTTGGAAATAGTCCACTCAGGAAAACATATTTACCCTGCCTAAAATCAGCCTGACTTTCAAATCCATTTTTTCTCTGTGGCATACACTCAACATAATTATGTTTCATACAGCCTGAACTCAGGGGATTTTGATCTGGGATGGGGATGTACCTGGAATCTGGGGGCTGGAGCCCACATCTCGGATCTAAATAGCTTAATGTTTCCTGTGAGTGTGTGTGTGTGTATATGTTTGTACATATACTTTGACTCTCTCCCCTATGTGGGCATTCTGCCCCACCCCCGCAGAGTCCAATGAAAGGTTCTTGCCGGACAATGTGAATGAATTGTCTGGCATAGATTGGAAACAAGTCAAATGCTGACTAAGCACAAAGACAAAAATCCATGGAAGCTGGGTTCCTATTAAAAAACAAAAACCACCTAACCCTCATGAGAAGGTATGTCCCACTTTGGTAGTGGAGAGATGGGAAAAAACACAACCACCTCCTGCCTCTGGTATTAAAACCAGGTTCTTCAGCTGTCAAAAGCAGTTAACTAGTTTAGGACAGACACCTGGCTGTTGAAATAGGGCTCCGGAGGGCAACTAATCCTTCCATTCACTCAGTTAACTGCTGGATCCCCCAATTTGATTCAACAGGTATGCAGTGGTAAATTCAGCCCATACTAAAGCCAAAGGGAAAATCAGCAAGGGGCGGGCAGCTCTTCTCTGAAAACACCCGAGGAACTAGCCAGAAAAGCTTTTATGGCCCTGACAAGTTTTCTGCTGAATACTGAGCACCTAAATTACCCTTCCCTAATGGAACTTACATTTTCATGCTCAGTCAAAAAGCCAACAAAATACACAATTTATACAAAATAGCATCAACCTCTTAGGTAGTCTTTTCTAGCACTTTTATCCCAATTCACAGCATATGTCTTGCTATAAAGTAAAATGTATTTCTTATAACCAACTTGTATGTAGCTATTCATCTCACACATTAGAACTGACCATCGGCAATATTAGAAACATTTGTTCATCCAACCAAATCTACTTAGTATGACAAAGGAAAATCATGAGTTTTATCAGAAGATAAAGGTACACAAAGAAGAGAAATATCATTATTCTTAGGATTTCCTAAGCAGACAGGCTTCCTTTCGGAAACAAACACATGCATAATTACATAGGCAATTATGGAATGGGCCATTTCAATTGCAATTGACACAGAGAAATATAAAGTTCAAAAGAAATGTAAATGGATAAACTTTTAAAGCTGGTCTATTTCACTTTTCAATATCGGCATTCCATTAAACTTTGGGAAAATAAAAACTGTAAAATTATTCAATAATATAGAACATTTCTTACAAACTTTCAAAGAACCTGGTCTAGAGATATTTCCAGGTGAGGATCCCATGAAGAACAGATCTATGAAACCCTTTACATCGTGTAGGAGATTCTCTAGGTTTCAATTACATAATAAGTGAATTTCCTTACTAGGTATCTCTTGGTAGCAACAGTTCAATTCTGAAACACTGTTCTCAGATATTAAAAAAAAATGCATTCCTAGTTTACTTTTTAAAATATAGTATCTCCCAGAGACATAAACACTGGATTTCTCCACCCACAACACACAAATGCAAATTGAATTCTTGCCAATTCGTGTATTTTCTTCAGAGAAAAAGAAAATATTCTCATAATCCTGCTGTTCCATATTTAAAAAGAAAAAAGAATAGACCATCTTAGGTGCTACTACAGGGATGCGTTTTCTTTGTCTGGCAGGTTTAGTTGCAGGTTTTACAGAGGAAATATTTTTGCTGTATTTTCACCAGTATAAATGGAATGGCTTGTGTTGCCTTTTAAAACATGCCAAATTCTAATTTTTAAACAAGAAAATATGAAGCCAGTGTGCAACCTATACAGTCGCCAAAGGAGAGCTGCCACTAGCTGAACTACTCAGCTAAATGGCTGGTTTGCATTGCCCTGGTCTTTATCTAGCACTGAGAATAGACTGCTGTTTTATCCAAAGAGGAATAAATTGCTGTTATTGTGATGTTAGCCCATCACTTGGCATTGCAATTCAAGTTTTTGTGAGAAAGAAATGTATGATCTAACTGCGACTTGACCTATGCCTTCTGAGATCCATCTAGGTGCTCTAATGGAGCAGAAAAAGTGGTGAATACAAGGACATGCAAACTGATGGTGAAAAATTTGTTTGATGATAGAAGTGAGCAGAGAAGACATTTGAGAGTCGCTGCTTTTATGACAGCTAAGTTTGTTTAACATGCAAAAGGATGGACCCCCAGTCTCTCACCTATCACTTTAATTGTATCACACTGAATACATGTTTTTGCCTCTTCTAAAGATATGAGGATATACAGCTAACCTACTAATGACATTACTGCTAAAGTGGGCACAGATGATTCTTTACAGATAAACATCTGAATTTCCACAAAAGGCATTAGAGCATCTCATGGATGCCTAGGCAAGGATAAGCTTGGGTTCCCTGCAGAAAAGTCATTCTCTCTTAATCCTAGGTAGCACCTATTAAATGTTTACCATACAGTTGAATCACAGCATATAACAATATATACTTACTTTAAATAAGATAATTGTGTGATTGAGTTTTTAAAAAACTCCCCCTGGTTGCAATCTAGTTTATCAACCATGTATTCAAAATTTCTCTGGGAAGGACCTATTTTGAAAGAGGCCTGGAGAACAGCAGCAGTCAGATTTAAGCCCTGATAAAGGCTCACTTTTCATTCATAGTCAGAGCCTAAATGTGCTCTTCTTGTACCTAAACAGATAATAAGCACTCAGCACACTCCCCCTCCTTGACACAGCACACTGAGACTAATCACACATAATTGGGGAGGAGGAGCAGAGGGCTGGCCACGCTATTGTGTCCAGAGGACAAACGGTCAGTTTATGAGGCTTTGGGCTGATGTAGTCATTTCTTATACATCTATAGGGAAAAAAAACATACTGTTTAAAAGGAAAAAAAGAAGGAGAGAGAGGGATAGAGAACGGAATGGCAGATTTAATACAATTAATTGGAGGGAGATAAAACGATATGCTTTATTTTTTTTTAACCAGGAAAGAATCATGATATTTGCTGGGTTTACTGATTAAAAACTACCACCACCAAAACAGAACAAAGACCAAAAAAAAAAAAAAAATTTAAGGAGGGATGGGTATTATCAAAAGAAATTCTCTCTCAATTAGAGGGAAAAATAGGTCGTTCACCAGTCAAATTCAAGTCACAGATAGGCAGCTTATACATATTTAAAGACAAACAAAGGTTTAGGGCAGGAAGAGCAACAAGCAGAGTGTAAAAAGAGGCAGGGAGGGAGCTGGAGAGGGCAGCTGGGGAATAACGTGGGTGAGGACAGGTGGAGGCCATAGCCCACACGTGAAATGCTGCAAAGGGGGCAGGCAGGCGATTATACCCATTACAGATTGCTGTTTTTGTAAAAATATTCCCTGTGCACTTGATATTTTTCTTCGTCTTTGAGAAGCTTAATCTTCTATCCGTGTTTGGTTAAAAGAAGCAGAAGCGGGTAATGAAGGTTTTCTTCATATATGTCCGGGTTTTCCTTTTTCAACTGAAAACAATAATGGGAAGAAAAAAGGTAAGGGGACTCCAATTAGGGATGTTTACCAGTCATTATTCATGTTGAGTATCATGACTTTTACACCAAAATATATAGTTCTGGAAAAATCACAGAAAAGCAACTCAAAGTTGTTCTCAGTGGCACTAGTGTCACAATTCTATACATTAATATGGGGATTGTTTTTGGTGGGGGTGGGTAGGGTGTTCTTTCATAAATACCCCAGCTGCATTTTGACCTCTATAAACTGTGAGGCACTTAACTGAAGGCAGAGCTGGGGCTCATTCATCGTCACCTGAGTGGTCATTTGACACAGAAGTTTCTGCTCTCTGTACCCTCTGCCTCTGACCAATGCCACACTATTCAGGCAGGTGGGCATTTCACATCACTGCCTGGAGTCTGTGGCAACATCTGGGCACAGGCAAAGGCTTGTGGGGCCCAAGACACTGCAAAGGCTCTCCAGGTGCTTCTTAGGGGTTTTAACATTAATAATAAGTCACTCAAAAATTCTTTTCTCTGAGGAGAACATATTCCAACAATTAGACTAGTGACATTCCTGTCGATACTGCGCAGGGAGGTTCTGAGGATCTTTCTGTGATTTTAAAATCCAGTCAGGTTTCTCACGTCTAAAGTACACTTTTTCTTCATTCAGCTGGAATAGTTTTAAAGTTATATTTACATTTATCCTAGCAACTAATAATTTGCTATTTATAAAGACAAAATTAATATTTTTGAAGTTGGAATTCATGAGCCAATTATTAACTCCTTTTTAGATTATAATAATAAAAAATATTTCTTTTAATTATACATGGAGCCAATTCCTTTATTGTTTAAATTAGTCAAACACCACCCACCCCACCCACCCTAAAGCAAAATGAATGGCCTCAACATCACACTCTCCCAGGGTGGTCCCTCTGGGGCATGTTAACTTGAATCTTTTCGAAGTGCACGTTCCTTCTGAATCATATTCCCAAACCGTGACATGGACAGACTGTCACTATTAAGGACAGGAGTCATGAGCCCACTTCCCCTTTTCCGCTGGGGAACGTAAAGCTAATTCAGCCTTTACTTTCTAATCCACTCTCCCAAGAACTGACGGGGGTACAGTCACTGAGGTGACTTCATTCTGTTTTCTTAGATGGAGTTTGTTCTGTGTACAGATGATTTGTTGTCTATTTAGAAAGATCCTTGTGGATTTTTGCTGCCACCAAAGTAGTGAGAGTGTTAAGCCTAAACACAGGTCCTCCAACCTTACTATTTAGTCTAATTTTAGAAAATGCCGAGAAAATGGCTTCACCAACTTCCCCGTCCATACCCACTGACCGGGACTTCCCAACTGTACATACCTTTGTTGCCAGTTGCCCTAGTGATAGAGGGAGCCCACTGAAGTATTTTATAGAGGGAAGAGAGGGCCAAGCTAGCTCAATTCTTTCCTCAGGGATTGGGGATAAGGGAAAGTTGATTACTCAGTGGCAGTCAGCTGACCTACTCACTCACAATGCACTAATATACAGAGACTCAAATGAGCTCTTTATAAAGTCCCTGAGGTAATATGTGGGATAAATAATTCTTCTGTAAATATGGGTTAGAAATCACTTTTAACTTGGATTCTGTGCTGACCTCTGGAGGCCAAAGCAGAGGCTTGGTTGCTGAAAGGGGCCAGGGGCCAGCCGCGTCTTGCCTGTGAGACCTTTCCACAATGGGGAAGAGCTGACAACCCTCAAAGGCAACACTATAACCCAGCCCCGGATCATTTCGGAATCAAGCAAGTCTGTTACGTGAGGGTACTTGAGCACACACAAAGCGCTTAGCCAATACTTGCTTCGATGGGGGAATGTTATGAGCTTTAAGAATAATTCCATTTACCCAGGCTGTACTTCCTTGCCCAATTAATAATTACGATCTTAACAAATATCAAAAGGCACCTTGAAAGAAAATGAACAAAAAGCAAATCATGAATAAAACAATTTTTCAATTTCATAGGTTAAAACAGGGTCTTTGAGGACTAAACTAAATTATATAGCTGCTATTAGTAGCATTATGCTTTACTTCATAATTGGATGTAACACGCTCAGCCTTACTACGGTGTGAACAGCAGCAGCAGGAGTGGAGTTCAGACTGTTTACCCTTTACAGTATCCACAATTATCAACAGCACACCACACAGATTATAAGCACCAGCCACTTGTAATGTGGCATTTTGAATAGATAAGGAGAAGTGCAATATGGCCGTGTTTTTAACACAATGTACTGACTTCACAGCCCAGCCCAAGCCTATTTTCAGAGCAATGTACAAAAATACAGAAAAACACTTCAGGGTGGTTTTGCGAAAGTTTAAAAAAAAAAAAAAAACCACGGCATGTAAAATTATATTTCAAAGAACATTTGCATGAATGAGAGTATTTTTACCAACTAGCATCAAGCCAGCTGTAATCTCGAAGTCACATCTCTACCTTACAAAACGATTTGCTATCTAACTATCCGAAAGGTTTTGAACCACACTATGAGGGCAATGAATTTCATTCTCAGCCCTGAGGAGACCAAAAGGCTGGGGAGGAGAGGGAAGTGTTTTATTTTTCTCCCTTTGCAAGGATGGACTGAAAAGCAATATTTTAAAAACATACTACACCTTTGGCTGCCTGGTTCCTGAGCACACTGGCTGCATGGTGTGGGCACAGTTTAACAAAAGCACTGGCAGAAAAGTGCAGAATGGCACCGTTTTGATTACAGGCTTGCTTTTTAACGGAAATAAAATTTCACAGTTAACAATGAGAGGTGAAAAGTTTAAGAGGCAAAGCTGTTCCTCCTGATCACTGACTGTTAATCAGCTTCATGGGTGGTTGCCTAAATCTGTAGATTTTTTTTTTTTTTTTTTTTTTACCTTGCACTACTGCCAAGTAACTAATTTTTTCCCCTGTTGTAAGAGGAGGAGTGAAAAACTCGGCTTCGAAGGCAGCTGTGTATGAGTGACGCGAGGCACTAATGCAGAGGGCAAAATTAAAATTCATGAATCTCTTCACGACCATTTGTGTAACAAGATTAAGACGGGACAGCGGAAAAGAGCGGCATTATCAGGCGTCTTACAGTCCTCCAGCTGGTTACGCTCTATTCCAACACAGTAGGGCTAAGAGGATAACACGCAGCCTGAAGGAAAACGCCGCTCCTCCATTGGGGAGCAGCGCGTCCCAGGGACGAGGGGGCTTTGGCCAGAGATGGAGAGGAAGAAAGCTGATTGCCGCTCAAGATGGAAAACTTTTAAGCCCTGGCTATTAGCACGCGGCCAACAAAAGCCGCCAGGGTGGAGGCTCCCGGCGGCCGCGTCCCGGAGCCCCGGGCGGGCGGGCAAGGCTGGAGTGGGCAGGGGTGCTGCCTTGGGCCTCCGCCTTCGCGCCCTGCTGCAGGGCATGGGGCTGGGCGAGGAGCAGCGACGCTGCCCGCTCCCTCCAGCGTGGCCCGCGGCTCACTGCTCCAGCCTCTGGGCAAGCTCCTTCTCCTGCAAAGGAGCACAACTGCACGTGCCAGCCCGGTCAGCACACAGTATCCCTGCTGTTGAAGCAGGCACAGGAGGGACCAGAGGCATTCTTTTGCTGGAAGCAGAATACCACACCAGCTGAAACAGCTCTCGTTATTAAAAAAATATATATATATTGGGCGCCCGTTTATACCTTTTATCCAGGATATGCCACCTCTGCAGAATATTCTCCAAGGGTTCTACACTCTCCCCACCCCCAACAATGAAGAGAACTATTTCTTAGACCGATGTACCAATGTCAGCAAACTGTGAATTTGACTTTTCAGCAATTATGACCAGATGTATGTGCTTCGCTTAGCAGGGGTAGTGTACAACGTTGGAAATAAAAAGAGGAGGTGTGCTGGCCACCAGGCGCTAACACTCTAAAGTTCTAGACAAAGGAGAGATGGGCGTGCCTGGCATGTCCCAACACTTCTCAGATCTTTCAGGGAGGAGACAGAGGGTATCAGGCACAATGCTGGACATCTTTGCTGGTGGAGAAACCCACGCCTTTGCTCTCCTGAGCTGTCACTGGGAAACTAAAAGCATTTGTTGTTCTAGGGGGAAAGTGAATGGCACGACATTGAAGCAGCTGTCAGCTGATCCTTGTAGTTCCAGCCCGACCCTGGAGAGAAAGCCACATTATTCCTTTGGGTGGAGGAGTCCAGGGAGCCAGGAGGGACCCTTTCCCTACCAGGTAAAGCCCCGCTTTTTTTAGGGGGAGGGGTTGAAAAGGGGAAAACATCATTCTAGGCCGCTAAGATCTGAATCACATACTGTTCTGTTTTTATTTTCTGATTGTGAGCAACGGGCCTGACTCCACCAGCGAGAGGACGTGATTTAACTCTTTCAGTTCACAAAGCACCATTTTTCCCCAGAGACTAAATGGAACCTTAAAGATTCAAATAAATAAGTTCATTTCCAGAAAGTGAGAATTTCTTTCTCTTGCTTGGAAGATCAGATTAATTTTGCATATATTTTTCCAAAAGCCAACTCACTTCTACATTATATTATAGTCCTGGGCAATAAAGGATGCTGTTCACATTGTCCCAGGAGAAAATTAAGGTCAGGCCTTTATTTTTCTGCAGTTACAACTTGTGAAATCATGACAAGTTAAAGTCTCTTGCCAAGGTCAGACTAGCTCAGTGAAGGGAGATATCCGTAAGGCACAAAATTACTGAAATAATACATATTATACTAGTCACTGTGATATGTATTAGCAAACGTGAGAATCCTAAAAAGTTTTCAGTGAAATACTCGCCTCTCAGTGTCCTATATTGCTCTATACCTATAAATAATAAAAAGGCTGATAACATTGCTTTATGTAAGCAGGCTTAGAAATCACTCTCAGATAAGTGCTTTTGACCTAAATCTTGTAGCGCCTCGATCTGACATATAACCCCACAACTGTGAAATTCTGTATGAGATTTAACAGTCTCAAACTGCCAACTGACCCAGCTATAAAGCAAACAGAGATAAAGATT